TGACGTAAGTCACTTAGGCAGTCTTGAAAATTTTACCCACTGTCTACTCATGGACTGTAAAGGTTGCAAGAATGAAGGGACTTCTGCTGAGAAGGTAAATATCTTCTCAAACTTTTCTTCATTGCTTGCTACAACTTTATGCTAATTATTGAGTCTTTTATTCACATACAAGTCTGACAAATGCCTAGCTGAACTTTATTGCAACAGTGGACAAAATGTGCGTAGCTAGTTTGCTCCTGCTATCCTTGTATGGAAAGGCTAGACCTAGAAGGCTGCTAACATGGTGGTGGCTGGCATCTCCCATCCAATCGCAGAATTGGGATTGTCATCTCAGCATTGGCTTGCAGAAGAAAAATGCTTTGCTCTGACTGAAATTTGTTGAATCTGAACTACAGGTGTTAATTATCATTTCTTTAAAGTATTTTCAAGGTGTAATAGTATAATCAACAAATCTTCAATTCAAATTAATTATCTTTAAAGCCAGAACTAACCTTTTTCTGTGCTGCAGTAGTGCAGTATATGTATGTCTTGTGATAGAAAAGAATGTACCCCAGCACCCTGGCGGAGTATCATGTTTTTATGTGTTTTGCTTTAAAACAAATCAAGTACATCAAAACTGTGAACTGAAATATGAGCAAATATGAGGCACGTTGTTTTATTATGTCAAACTATCTATTGAATAATGATTTGGGATGGTTTCCTACACATGTTGAAGCTGCAGACTCTAGATGGAATTATGCTTGTTATCTTCTGATTTTCCACTATTTATATTGAAACATTGTAAGACAAGCTCACATGTACAAAGGTGCCTTCTTTTATATGTAAAAACGTACAAGAAATGAAATTGTTTTTATATTATATTCTTTGCCTAGTAGCAAAATCAAAATAAAGACTTTTTTTTGTCAGGCTTCTAAAATTTTGAATCTGACTGGAGAAAGGTGTTTTTTATTGACAGCTTACCAAATGTGTTGGGTTTACCTAATTTACTTTGTACACCTGTAACATGTTATGAGTAAGCCTGTATTGATCTTCCCCTGCAGAGTTCATGGGCTAGGTTGTGTGTCGCTGTCTTTAGTACCGTAGTTCTTTCCACTTTATTGGAAAGCAGAACAGAAGTAGATTATAAATGGACCAGTCAGAGTGCATAATAATACCAAAGCAGGAGAGTACAGTTTAATTTGCAGGGTACTTGTAATGCAACAGTTGGCATCTTCAAAGATTTTCAAATAAATGTAATCTTACATGTTTTCATACAATCTGGTATCTGTTTTAGAAATATCATTGTGCACAAGTTGGGCAAGCTGTAGAAAACTGTAAATTGAAGTAGTTGCCTTCATAGTCACAACACTTAAAATGAGACATTGCCAAAGAGGGATTGCAGATGACAATGATTGGATAATTCATGAGACACAAAGCCTTTCATGTCAGGATCATCAATTTAAATCCAGCCAAGATCAGTAGTCACTTCAGGGTAATTTGACATCTGATTGTAAAGTGATCCATGTACAATGAGATGCTGGCTTCAGTTCTTTTGTTCTAACAAAAATGGCTATGGCTTCAACATGCTTTACATTTTACACATGGGGAAACTAAGGAACAGGTGGAGTGACTTGTTGAAGGTCACCCAACCGATTAGTGGCAGAACCCAGGTCCCCTGAGTCCCAATCCAGCACGCTATTCACTAGGTCCCACTGCCTCCTGTAGACAGGTGTCCTCATGATGGCTCTGATTCAGGACAACACTTAAATCATATTAGCTTCAGTTGACTGTTGTTGGGAATCAGAACCCGTTACAAGCATCCTTGCTAGCAGCTGGAAAAGGTCAGTCTGTAGACTGGACTACCCACAGGTTCCTCTTTTCACCCATACTATTGGGGCAGAGTGTGACTGATCTTTAATGGATTACGCTGGGCTCTAGGGCTGTCGTTTTGCATCTGACAAATTGAAGTTTCCTAAGAACATCACTTTGTTTTATTCTGCATTTCAATAATCTCAACCTGTTCTCCATCTCTCTCTGCTCCCAACGCAGTGACAATAGGGTGCTCTAATAGAGGCTCTGTTGTGATGTCAGAATGTTCAGATGACTGAGTGATCCCAATGGCTGAACACACCAGGGTGTTGCCTATAACTTAATCACAATAACACTGGCTTGCAGTGAACACAGATGAGTCGTCTTTAGGTGAGCAGATGACCAAAATCAAAACCTCTTGCAACGCCAAAAGGAAGTGAGCTGAATTCTCTTCTTTCTCAGCATCGTTGTCTAGTTCGAAGCACTGATGCAAATAAACTCCTGAATGTAATGAGACTGCACGGGTGCCACTGGGCCAAAAACCTAATTTGGCGTTCAGAGCATATTATTGCTTTTGATAGTGCACAAGAAGCAAAGCATTCAGCTCAGATCTCTGCCCAACCTGAGTTTCTGGGGTTGGCAGTGAGAAAAATACCTTTCTACTTGTAAATTGAGAACACTTGATATGGAGAATGGAGCCCTCAATGCCATTTTTACAGAGTCCCTTTTCAAAGTAGCCCCACTTAAATGTTTGTCCCAATCCACGTTAGCAGAACTTTGCTGAATGTTGCCAGAAGATCCAGTGTCATCCCCTAGCCCTCCCGCTTACAATCCTGCAGCCTTGAGCTTGCAACTATATTTATTTGGTTGGGTTCAGAACTCCTCCGCAAACTTGATCATCTGGAGCAAAAGGGCAGTTGTAAGCTAATTTATTAACATCCATCTGTTGCTGTTCTTTGGCACAGGGATGTCTGTCCACCACAGCATCCCTTGTAGGGATTGGAAGCAGTCATGGGCAGGAGATGGCAACTTCTAAAATCCATTCCAGCTGCATAATGTCTGGGCTGAGTGTAAGAGACAGTCATCACCTAGGAAACAAGGTAAAGCAGTGCCAGCAGTTTCAGGAAGCAGCTGAAGAAGAGTCACTATGGGGAGATGGGCATATTTATATAAAGAAACCATCTGCTCCAATGCTGGATATTAACCTGGTTCCTTGTAGATGTGACAGACTCAAGCTAGATTTTTTTCCACAGGCAGATGGCTTATTTTTAGCTAAAATTATCCTTTTCCCCCACCCCCCCTATTTTTTTTTAAGCTGTCTGGCTTTAAAGTGGAAAGCAAACATGATGGAAAATTGTAGCAAAGGGAGGAAAGATCTTGCTTTTTAAAAGGTTCAGAATTCCAGTGCAGATTAGTAATTGAGATACGCCATCTAGTGGGGGGAAATTGAAGCTTTTCTTAAATCCATGTCTAGTGTCATATGGACACAGCGATCTCTGGGCTTTCTAATTCCTTCCCCCAGGAAACTGCAGTATATCTTATTTGTTGCTATTAATTCATAAAACTCTTTACAAGGCTACAAATATTAGCCTACCAATGACTTGCATTGACTTATGTCCGTGATAAATTTGGTTATTGGTGACTATTAAGAACATAAGTACGGCCATACTGGGTCAGACCAATGGTCCATCTAACCCAGTATCCTGTCTTCTGACCGTGGCCAATGCCAGATGCTTCAGAGGGAATGAACAGAACAGGCAGTCATCAAGTGATCCATTCCCTGTCCACTCCCAGCTTCTGGCAATCAGAAGCTAGGGACACTTAGAGCATGGTGTTGCATCCCTACCCATCTTGGCTATTTAGAAATGTATATGCCATCTCTAGAGAGTGGTGAATTTGTGTGATTTTTAGTTGCGCAGGAAGTCAGTTTTACCATTCTAATGACTAATAAACCCAACTGGACTTAGCATACTTGCTAAGTAACAGCCAACTAAACAGATCTAAGCTGCTGCCAATTTACAAAGAATCATTGATCATAAGTAGGTTTGGCAGAATTGGGTTTTATTTTTTTATAAGTTTTGACAGATATCAGTTTATTTTTAACACTTTTATTTTTGTCAACTTAAATTTTTCATAGTTGTGCAAAATTATGGATTTTGAGCAGTTTTGCTGTTTTTTATCAATTAAAATGTTTACAGTTACCAGAAATTGGAGCGGTGTGACAACAATTATCTGACAGTAGACGTTGAGATTCAAAAACCATTAAAACATAACTTATCAGCATCATATGTCAAAATACTCAAAGTAAACATCCTTAAATGAAACTCTTAAGTTTTCAAGTAGCATTTTTCTTACTTTGCCTATCTGTACATTTCGATGATCATCAAAGGCAATGTTTTTTCCATTGGTTTGTGTGTGTGTATGGGGAAATTGATGTTTACCGAGAAAATTCAAATCCTTCCAAGCCTAATAATCATTGAAGCTGGAAAGTCACTAAAATATAATTGTTCAGTCTTTGGTTTTGCCTACGTGTATTTATTGTTCAATTTTCATTAGTTTTAGTGAGCCTAAGGTGTAAGAGTTAACTATTACTTTACAAGTTTAAATACTGGGTTACTGACTGACTACAGTTATACTAGTCGTGTATGACAGCTTTCCAACAGCGTAGGTCAGATCTTCGCAACTGGTGTTTTTACGCTAAGACCTAATCCTTGACAGACTCCCTCCCCTCTGAGGTAACAACTGTTAATGGTTGTGGGTTTCAAAGTAACATACAGAAAGTCAGGTCTGACAAAGCTGGAGGTATACGCAAACCCTTTAAAACCACAGTCCTGGTGTATTACTGGATCCGTCCCTGACAGAGCAACATGGCAGAAAGCTGGGGGGGGGAGAGAAATGCTTCTATCTATTGAATGCCTCTTTCCTTCCACTCCCTCTGCGAAGGCTTCGGGAGCAGTGGTGTTCTATAGGCCCTAACCAGCCCTGCTTTCTAAACAGTGGGTGCATGAGAACTTTCCCGAAATAATTTCTAGAGCAGATCTGTTAGAAAAATATCCAATCTTCATTTAAAAATCATCAGTGACCTGTGATAAATTGTTCCAATGGTTTTACTCTCACGGTTAAAAATTTACACCTTATTTTCAGTCTGAATTTGTCTAGCTTCAACTTCTAGCCACTGGTTCTTGTTACACCTTTCTCTGCCAGACTGAAGAACCAATTATTAAATATGTGTTCCCCATGTAGGTACTTGCAGACTGGAACCAAGTCTACCCTTAACCTTCTCTTTGTTAAGCTAACAAGATGGAGCTCTATCACTATGAAGCATGTCTTCTAATCATTCTCATGGCTCTTCTCTGAACCTTTTCCAATTTATCAACATCCTGCTTGAATGGTGGGCATCAGAACTGAACATAGTATTCCAGCAGCGGTCACACTAGTGCCAAATACAAAGGTAAAACAATCTCTCTACTCCTCAGTATTTCCCAGTTTATGCATCCCAGGATTGCATTAGCTCTTTTGGCCACAGCATCACTCTTGGAGCTCATGTTCAGCTGGTTATCCACCACAACCCCCAAATCTTTTTCAAACTCACTGCTTCCCAGGATAGAGTTCCCCATCCTGAAAGTATCTTTGTTCCCAGCTGTATACATTTACCTTGGCCCATATTAAAATACATATTGTTTGCTTGCACCCAGTTTTCAAGTGATCTAGATCTCTGTAGTGTGTTAATTTCTTCCTCCCCTGCCCCCTGGCACTTCCCCATGTGTTTAAAAAAAATAGAACAGGAACAATCGTTTCTTTCTTTTTTTCCCAGGCTGCAGGGTAAATAGTTGTATTCATTTATAGGGTGGTTTGTGTGCTGGTTTGTTTGTCCGTGTTTGTATTAGAAGTCATGGAAGGACACCGCATTCTTAATTTTTTGGTGCAGATTCCTCCAGGCATAGTGTATGGATCTCTCTAGCCAAGATAGAGCCCCATGCTATGGGGCTCTATCTCTTGGTAGTGAGCAGAGGGAAGATGGATTCTTTTTGACAGCATGTCTGTTTGGGCATCAGTACTGCGAAGTAATCTGAGGGCGCGTGCCCTTGATAGTGGGGAATGTTACAGAAGAGGCAGGTTTTTTCAAAGGATTTATGTTTTCCTATGACCATCACCTCAGTCTTGATTTGGTGTTAACCAGTCGCTCATCTTCCAGGGACTGATTGTAGCTAGGCACTGAGAGAGCTGGGAGATGGTTCTATTTATATTTGACATAAAGGAGATAGAGAGCTGGGTGTTTAAGCTGTGAACTGCTGGAATTTTAGCCCCTGTTGTCTCACCATCTGTCCCAATAACTTTCATATGAATGTTGAATAGTAACACTGGGAGAGAACTGGGGCTACTCTGATACGGGCTTTGGAGGAACACTTCCCTATAATGATCCTCCTAGTGACTTATTTTTCAAAAGCATCCCAAAGAAATGCTAACTCCGTGCACACAGACACACACGGTAACAAATTCCCTCTAATTATGACGCTTACATGGAGCTCAGATTTTGCCTTGGCAGGACTGTTTTTTCGGTGACATTTGAGCACACTCAACCACTGATGTCTAAAAATCCCAAACCGTATAAAGTCCATGGAGGTATTGTAAAAATATAGAGTCTGGAATATCTGACGCCTAAGACACAAATGCAGCTTTTCAATTCTTATCCCCATTTTATAGGTGGAAAGTAGGTCTCAAAGTTACACAGCAAGTTGGTGAAAGAACTGAGATTTGAACCCAGGAATCCTGACTCCTGGTCCTGTGCTCTAACCAGCAGACACAAGCAGTAAGGCGTGGGTGCTCATAGGACGGAGTGATATGGAAATATCTGTCTGGTGTTAGTCACATCACCATTCATCACCCTTGCCATGTAAGTATGGAAAAACCTCAGTCTTAAAGAGAGAAGAGGCAAATGGCTGATTAATTTCACTCTGAACACTTCTGTTTCTATGGAACCCTCTCTGTCCCTCCCACACCACGTACAGTCAGCATAGCTTGGCTTTGCTGCTGAAAAACATTTGCAGAACTTCTGCATTTATCATCTCCTCCAGATGTTGCACAAGTAGGAATTTTGGCTGCCACAGTGGGGCGCTGTCCTCCTATGCTGTTGCTCTAGCTCAGAGGTAGGCAACCTATGGCGCGTGATTTTCAGTGGCACTCTCACTGCCCGGGTCCTGGCCACCGATCCGGGGGCTCTGCATTTTAATTTAATTTTAAATGAAGCTTCTTAAACATTTTAAAAACCTTGTTTACTTTATATACAACAATAGTTTAGTTATATATTATAGACTTATAGAAAGAGACCTTCTAAAAACGTTAAAATGTATTACTGGCATGCGAAACCTTAAATTAGAATGAATAAATGAAGACTCAGCACGCCGCTTCTGAAAGGTTGCCGACCCCTGCACTAGCTATCGTAGTGACTGAATGATGAGACATAATGGCAGTCTTTCCTAGAAGTTATGGCTAGCTCATTTTTTGCCCCCATGCAGCTTGTATTGCCAAGTCCTTCCCTGTTTGAACAGCTGAGCAGTTTGGAGGAATCTTTTGTAATTGTTTTGGGGTAAAGTTTTGAAGGCAGCTAATTGATCTGATGTAGCAATACTTTGCTGTGTGACCTTGGATGAGTGATTTAAATTCCTCATTCAGTTTCCTTGATTGTAAAATGGGGATAACACTGACCTGCTTCGCAGAGGGTTGTGACTGTGATGTTGTGAAGGCCAAAAGTATAACTGATTCAAAAAAGAATTAGATAAGTTCATGAAAGATAGGTCCATCAATGGCTAGTAGCCAGTGTGGTCGGGGACACACCCCCATGCTCTGGGTGTCCCTAAACCTCCGACTGCAAAAATATGGGACTGGATGACACGGGATGGATCACTCAATAAATTGCCCTGTTCTGTTCATTCCATCTGAAGACAGGATACTGAGCTAAATGAACCACTGATCTGACCCAATATTGCCTTCTGGTATTCTTATTGTTAATCATTAATTGCTGGCTATAGAGTGCCAGGAGGTCCGGGTTTGGAAGGAGCTATTGAAGGGCACAGTGTTATCACTTTACTATTAATATTAGATTATTTCCCAGATTTTTAAAAAAAAACACAATTCCACTGATACAATCTGTGATTATTAGCACTCTGATTGCTTTACCCTTTAGGAGACTGGCGAATCCTTAGAGGATCTGACTTTCAGTGGTGTCTTATCCTGGAGCAAACGTGCAGTTTTACCTGTGTGCACACTTTGGTGCACTAACACGCTGGGCAGTTGCAATCTTTACACTCTGTTGCTTACCTTTCATAGCTTCTCTTAGGAAAGAACCCTCCCATGGTGAAGGACTCTGAAAAACTGGGCCAGCTCCTCTCTTGGCAGAAGGACGCAGTGTAGTGCAAGCAGTGCCAAGCTATTAACCCCACTCTCAGCTGACACTTACTTGGCAGATGACGCGGTGACTGGATGAATGTTTTAAATGCACGCATGCTCTTGAGACCGGTTCATGTCTGCACTAGAAAAATTAGTATCCCTATTCTAGCAATTGCCATCAGTGCTGCAAGGGCACGAGTGCAGCGTTTCTCAAAGGCGGCCATAGCAGCCTCCGAAGCATGGGTGGAGATTGGAGGAGAGGCATGGGGGGCACTGCATCTCCCCCTCTCCCCCAACTGTATATGTTGATAGTGGGAGGCACAATTTAAAGCCATTCGTCCACCCCCTGAATGGCTTGAGTCACAGCCCCCACCCACCCCCAGTCTACCCTCCTGGAAAGCAGTAGCCCCTCCCTGCAGTGCCAGCTGTTGCTCCTGAATCGCTGTTAAGAAGGGAAGCGAGATGCGCCACCTTGGTATTTGCACTGGTGCTGCCACCAGGGAGTGGCGCCCTGCACTGTGCAGCCTCCTTGGGGGCTCCAGACAGCACCTCTGGAGACACTTGGGGCCGGTGTGTACTGCACCAGAAGTGGCTCATCAGTGGAGGTGGCTGTGATGTTAAATTGCTTGGGACCTCCCCTGGGCAGCTCCCCTGCTCCCGCCCAGCTGGGGCATGGGGAACCTGGGACTCCGCAGGCAGCCAGTGAATTCCCGACCCACCTTCCCCGGGGCAGGCTCTCACTGAAGGGCCATGGGAGGTAGGGACAGAGATGGGTTGGCCCTTGGACATGTCTATTTATTGTTTTTCCTAAAGTTAATTAAGTATTTTAGGAGCAGCCACCAGCAAGAGTTGGTGGCCGCACTCTGAGACCACCAATATTTTGTTATGAGAACCCCTGCACTAGTGGTAGCAATGGTATAAGCACTAGTATAGACAGAGCTGGGCGGAGGAGGGATCTTACCCCACTGTGTCGTCATTGCTTTGAATAGGTTGTCCTGACAGAGCGGTGGTAACCCCTGAGCTCTGTCTACACTAACAGCTTAGCACCAGTGCAGCTGTCCCATTGCTGGCTGTTGCTGGAATAATGAGGCTGTTTTTTTCTACTGTAGAGGCACTCCTGCTGGTAGCGCTAGTTAGCTGGGGAGACTGACACTGCTGGATGATAAAGGAGAATGCAGATTTGGGGTATAGCTCAAGTCTAATTTAACAGCAGACTTTCAGCTTGATAGGGATGGATTTTTTTTTTTAAACTAATGTCTTTGCATTGCAGTGAACTAAAGCTATTAGCCTTTAATTAGAACAGGAGGTTTCTTCTTTACCTTTCTAGAGATCACAGAAATCCAATGCATTTCTCAAGCTGGGAGCCAGAAATCAAACATTCATCACATAATTGCAGTAACTATGTGCTAATACTTCCCATTAAATATGATTTATGAATTCTACAAGAGCATAATAGGAAATACATAAATTCCACTCCAAAGTTTGCAAAAATTCCGACATTCCAGTTTAATTTGATGGCTCAGATGTCGCCAGAACCATGCTGCTGTATGTGAAGAGTTTATACAAAGGTTAAAAAAGTCTCAAAATTGGGTGAAAACATATTTATCCTGTATCTGAACTTCTCTGCCTGTGTGATTATTAATGAACAGTGTGGTTTCCATTTCCACAGGGATCTCTCTCTTCACATTTTGGGCCTCATCAAAGGAGACAGCATTGCTTAGTGGATAAGGCACAGGTATTGGACTTGAAAGACGTGGGTTCAATTCCTGCCTCTGTTGATCGTTTGCTGAGTGACTTCAAGCAAGTCACTTCCCTTCTTTGTGTACTTTGCTTTAGTTTCTCCATCTGTGAAATGGGGATTATGCTCCTGACCTTCTTTGTAAGGCACTTTAAGATCTGCTGATGAAGATTGCTAGTAAGAACTTCTTGTTCTTATTATTTTGCTATTTGCTTCCCTCCAGTTCTACAATCAAGATGTCAAGACATGGAAGAATATATAAATGTTAGCATAGGTTCATACTAGTAAGAGGGGTAAAAAACGAGTAGACCATAAGTCCAGCTACTTGCAAAGGCTTGTTGTTGTTTCCTGAGAGACTATATCCAAACTTAAATGGATATTATACTTGATCTAAGCCAGTATGGACCCCTCTATACTTGGCCTCAAGGAATCTATATAATGGAATTTGAACATTTTTAGGTCCTTTCAGTTAACCTTTTTTTCTCCACAGTCTGTGTGCAAGAGGTAAAAAAGTGGAACCATTATCTTAAGTTAATGTGGTTCTTCTGAATACGCGTATGTCAGATACTCTCCTGCTGTATAGTTTGATGACAGCATAACATGACCTGCTATTATATGAAATATGAAATGATGGGAGTGAATAATCATTGTAATTCTGGCTCAAAACTGATCTAATAAAACTGTCCTTAAGGGATTTATATTTTTATCTCAGCTGTAATGTATTTCACACAGAAGTTCCATGTCTTGAAAGAAGTTATGGCATATTAATCATGCAAATTGGGCTGAGTCAACCCGATGAACACTTATAGGTTTAAAGAACAAGGATACTGGAGGTGACCTTTGCTGCAGCTGACCAATAAGGGCACCTGGCTCACAACCCTGATACTGCTTCCCTCAGATGTCAACATTTTTTAAGAGCTGAAGTTCTGCCAGTCTTGCGCTATAGAGCTCACAGAGAGGAGTGTGGATTCTGTCTAAAGGATATCTTCAGAAAAGCAGCACTGTAGGTAATTTTCTCTTACATTTGTTTGTGTGTTCAGCTCAGTTTTCATTTTCACCCAGCTGAAAATGCCAAAGGCCAATGTATATTTACATATTATTACTCTCAATCCAGCTCGCAACTTTTGTTTGATCCTCCTGCCTGGATAGGGCAGCCCATGGCTCCTACCCCAGGCTCAACTTTTAACTCATGTCTACCATTGTTCTAGCCAGCTCTTCCCTTCATCTAAACATTCGACCCTAAGGCCAAAATTTCAGAGGCTCTCCCAAACTTCCTTCCTCACCGTTACAGCTCTCTCTCAGTCCTTCAGCCCCATATAATCTCATCCTCCAAGTTATAAAAAGACACAACCGTGCTCTTCCTAGCATGAATGAGACTTGCTAGATTGGCTTAAGAGAATTCAGCGATTTCTTACATTCCCTCAGGACCAGTTCAGGTAGGCAAACTGCCATGAATCACCTTTCCAAAGTCCTCTCCAGCTTCCCACTCCAGTCTTGTCAGTTAGTTAAACTTTGTGTTCAGCAGGGGCCTGATTCTCTGTAGCCCTGCAACCTTGTGTAGTCACGTCAGTGCAAAGTGGGTATAAAATGCTTCCCATCTGCTCTGGTAATATTGTACACCCCCTTTGCACTGGTGTCCATGACTGCTCAATGAGCAGGGGAGTGGAGGATTGGGCCCTTCAGTGACCGGTTTTGGCTGGGTCCTGTTGGTAGTCCCATAAAAGGAGTTTGCTTTCTTGCTCTCTAGCTTGAGCCATTCAGTCTGGGAAGCTTGTGCCATACCTGTGGTGACCATCCTTCCATTGCATAGCAGCTGTTTGCATATTTGAGGCTTTTTTCCCCTTCTGAAGTTTGGCTCTGTGGGAGCCCGTGGTGCTGCTGAGCCTAATCTCGGGTCAGGCCTTTCATGTCCACAGTCCAGGCCCTGTGGAACTGTGCATGTTGCCAATGGCTGTGGCACATCCCCCTGAAGTCAGGGATGAAGATTAGACTTTTTGTTCTAATCCTACTAATAGATAGTAGCCAGGATAATGGGTACTTTTGTACTGCTTTCCATCTTCAAAGAGCTGTACTGATATTAGCTAATTAATCCTCAAAGCAGCCCTGTGAGGAAGGCAAGTGTGTGTTTCTATTATGCATACTTTTAGCTTTGTTTTGGAAATAAAATCAGACTGGCCTTTACATAGAAATAAGGGAATGAATTAACCCATCACGGGCTGCCTATGTTCATCATATCAGGGCAACTGCCACAGGTTTTTTGGTTAGTTTTGGCATGTCTTTATAAACCTCTGGTATTTATGTGAAACAGCACAGAGTAAATCTAGCATTCCTAGTGTCTTCCCGGTTTTTATAACAGCCCAGCTTCTGTGTGCATATTCTTTTCCTCCCACTCTCATCCTAAAAGTTATATAGCACCATTTACCAGGCTCAGATCTAATGCAGCTATGGCTCAAGGCATCCAGATAGGGTATCAGTGGAGAGGGTTGAACCGGTGACCTTTGGATCTAAAACTATGAACCTCTCATGCCTGAGCTAAACAACCTGGGATCCAGAGTTCAAACACTATAACAGACTCATAAACCTCTGTACATGTAAAGTGACACTTTTTAGGGAGGTACGTGAACACTTTGTTTTGACTGCATGATTTCAAACCTTTTCAACCCAGCCAAGCCTCCTTATCCCTGAAACTCCATTCTCCACAATCTTTCCTTCCTCTTCTGGTCAGACTGGCATGCGTGTCAGACACATACTAACATACATGTCACTTCTGTGGTGTTAATATTCCAGCACATATGCTACTGTATGTAAAATGTGACACACCCTGTCCAAAACAATCAAACTACAAGGATATTGCAACACATTTGACGTTATAGGAAATGTCTTTCCTGTAAGAGAGGAAAACCCACCCATTGCTTTTGTGCCTGCTCTTCCTCCCTGAAAGTTTTCCATTGTACAAGCGTGTAATTAAACAAATGATAGGAAAAATTGACCTCTCTAGTCACTGGAGACCTCTTATATAATGTCCTCCAGCTGGATCTCAGAGTCAGCCTGAAAATAAGAATTATATTCAATACCTTTATGGCTTGTTTTAAGTAGAGAAGTCCTTTACCCTGATGTTTCCATGCCATCTGAATCCAAAGAGTCGTGTAGTTCAAGACTACAAAGCTCATATGACTGTCTCAAGCCCAGATACAATGAACATGACACTGAGAGGCCATCATTGTATTACTCTTTGCTTATAGGAGTCCAAGGAGAGGTTTGTCTTAAAGTGAGATGCTCCCTGGTCCTGTGATCATTGATATGTTTTCTCTGAGTAAATCAGCATCTTTAAATCTTTTCACAATGTATGAGAGCTAACTACTGATATCTACAATGCCCCAAATATCTGCTTTTACCAAACTATGCTCTTGCTACCTCTCCATGAATGGACAGTGCTAGTGAACCCTCAGATCACACAAATGTTTACAATGCAAGATTCATTCAGTTTTAAGGTAGATGTGTTCTGCCATTCACATGGTACTTTAGGAAATTACGAATATTCCGCTCTCCAGTATAAATGGAAAGAGTTGTGGATGCCCAGCTCCAGGAAAATATAGCCTTTAAAACTAGAGGAAGAGAGATTTGGGGTGGTAGTGGAGGAGAAAGGGAAAGTTTGAATATTGCAGGAGGGAGAAACAGCCTGACAGGACTACAGTCAAGGTTTCCAGATGAGACTATTGATTTTGGGTGTCCTGACTTTAGGCTCCCAATTTGAGAAACCTTAAACGGGTTTGACTTTCAGAAAGCATTAAGCCATCTGAAAATCAACCCCTCGACTGTGTCTGGAGATGGACACCTAAAATCATGACAGGTTTCAGAGTAGCAGCCGTG